ACAACAACAACAACAACAACAACAACAACAACAACAACAACAACAACAACAACAACCACAGCAACCACAACAACAACACCAACACCAACACAACACCAACAACACCAACAACGACAACAACAACAACAACAACCACAACAACAACCGCAACAACCACAACAACCACAACAACAACCACAACCACAGCGACATCAACCACCACAACCACAACCACAACAACAACCACAACAACCACAACAACAACCAAAACAACCACAACAACCACAACAACAACAACAACCACAACCACAACAACAACCACAACCACAACCACAACAGCAACCACAACAGCAACAACAACAACAACCCGAACAACAACCCGAACAACAACAACAACAACCACAACAACAACAACAATTACTCTACAGCAACACACTTCCCCAAAAGCACCATATTTGACAAACAACTCAAGTCAGGTTCTTGGTTCTTAAATGATTTCAGTCCATACTGAACGACTTGAAGCAAAAGCACCAAGCTTTACTGTGATTTCACCTTTCAAATGGTGACCATTAATCACCTGGCTATGGGTCAAAACCTGGAGCCTGACCAGTCCACCTTTTGCCGCGAACGACCCACACCAGGTCGGTCAACCGGTTGGTCATGCTTTGTTTTTCTCGTGCTTTGACACGCTTCGCCACATGTGTGATTTCCGTTTTGATCGGCTTCATATGGTTTCATCCTACGGGGACCCGAAGACGCCAAACGTGGTCGACGTGGTCGTTCAGGGCGTCCCGAACCGCGACAGACTCGCTCTCGCCTCAGGCGATGGCCACCTGACCGCTTTGGTCATCGGTCGAGTCAACCGGTCACGAGTGGTAGGGGCTGGTAGTGACGCAGTGGAGGAGCTACATATGTCATTATATATACGTATACATGGTATATAGTATATAGGTGGTTGCCTTAGGTTTCTTAGGTTCTTGTGATACAGGTGTGTATACATGTATAGTTGTAGGTACCTATACAGGGGGTCGAAGTAGTTGATATGTGGAGTTTGAAAGCATAGGTCTTCGAAGAAGGGACACCACATCGGTGATTCGGGGAGGGTGTCTGCGTTTGTTCTTTCCCATGTTTCGTAACATGAACTGCAATTGAATCAGTTTTATAGGAATTCACGAAGAATGACGAAGATATGCAAATACAAAACACATGCGGAACAAAAAGAACAACAAACTACACAAATTGCTACATGAATGCAAAACACTACACGAGTCAATACTTGAATGGCAATGGCTACGAAAGCACTGCACATCATCTGACCCTCTGGCATCCAAGTTCTGGCATCCCATTCCCCAAAAAGAACACATGCGCCCATCCCCCTTTTCAGTCATCAAGAGGATTATTAATACACTTCAATACCTTATGACGTTCCTGAGGTCAAATCAAACTGTCAGGTGGGGTCTCGTGGATGCCCACGTGTGGTGAGATCCAGCTGGCTTCGGCGAGATGTCTTCGCGCGCATCCAGTTGTGATTGGGTGACCCGCCTCTTTGTTGGGGCACTCTGCAAGCCCAACAACAACAACAACAACGGCGTGTTAAGTCTTCTTTGATGGATGTGTGACACCCATGCAAATCATGAAAACGGTGCGAATCCTCGGCACACGTGCTTTTCCAACAGACTCTGCTGCCTCGACCGAACTGTCTTGAGGTTGATTTTAAACGCTGGTGAAAGACCAACAATTCACCCCCAGAACACGGCTCTCTTTGGGTGTGGACCTTATTCTCCTTCTCCTGCCATTGACTTTACTTCAAGCTATCCCCACTCAACCAGGCCTATCCCAATTATGAACGTCTATGCAGTGGTTGTGCTGCTTGTGTTTGATATTGTCATTGTGTGTGATTGTGTTTTTGTCTGCGACATTCTTTGTTGTCTGTTGTTGAACTGAGTCAAGTGCTGTAGCAAATATCACGATACAGTGGATCGTCTACTCTAAAGTCCAGCAACACCAGCCCTTCTGTCGGGTGCAAGTATATCACATCTCAAAGGAGGAGGAAAATCCCAAGTCACCATCCCCACACTATATTCACTATCCTTGCCTAGCGACCCCAAAAGCGCCACAACACATAGGTTTTTGAGGGTCTGGACCCCTGCCATGGAGAGCGCGAGTGCGGGCCCGTTCGGATTCCTAGTGCGTTTTTCATGGACCAACAAAGGGGCGTTCCTCCTGATTTCTCACTTGAAGGAAGTTGAAGCTAAGACTTGACAGTCCAGTCACGCCTGCGAGCCCCAGGAAGCAATCTGCGAGGCCGAGGACAAAAGCCCAGTGGCGCTGGATCCACCTGGCGCGGCGTCGGTGGCTGCGTCATCGGCGTCGGTCGGGTCTGGGAATGGGACAGGGTGATGTTCCGGTGTTAGAGGTAGCCATGAGTATGCGGCCTTCAAGCATGTCTTGAATGAAACACATTTGTTTTGCTACCATTTGGGAGATAGTTCCTGGCCCTAAGAGCCTTTTTTGCAGGCATACGGCATAGTGTATACTTATGGCCCTTATGGCCCTTCCCATTGAGCTTGAAGGAGCTCCTTTAACAGTCTGCTGCATATATATATATTATATATATATAGTGATATTTTTTTGGTCGGCTATGAGAGGGGGCTCTGGAAGATCAAGATTGCCAACGATCTCAAACCATGCATGTTGAAATGTTGTCATCTATAAAGTTCGAGCACTGCTTATTTAATTTGGTTCAAAGCTGCGGAGACCTGGAACGAAAATGTCAGGGTGAACCCTGCTGACCTGCATGCTTTCAATGTTCATGACTGAAGATTCATGAGTCATCAGCATCTGGAGAACACACGGGAGCTGCTCTCAGAAACTGTTTTTAACTCTCCCCATGTCATATCAACTGGGCTAAACCGCTTTTTTTGGTGCTCACATGTGCGGTTCAACTGATCGTTTTGATCCACGTTCTTCAAGATGTTGCCGCCTCAGTGAGTTGAGCATAGTTTAGCACCCCCCACTGTGAAGAAGGGGTCAAAGCCATACCCTCTTTTGTTGAACTCTGGAATCACACAACACACATGGCTCACGGACCATGACTTGCACCTCTTCGTATGCTTTTTGGCCAACTGAAGAAACATGTTAGAACTTTGAACTGCCACCACTGAAGTCAGGCACCAAAAAGGCATCAACAAGGTGTTCTCACGTTCAAAAATCGTTCGTGAGACCATGTGTTCGTTCACGTACGTCCGAAAACGCCCCAAGAGGTCTGAGAACGGATCACGCCGTCTTTCGAGGTCTGATCATCCAGAAAGGCCCTCAAAAAGAGGGTTGAAAAAGAATGGACCAACCAGCAGAGGTTGAAGACTTTTATAGCTATAGGTACCCCTGGTGACGGGTCCTATTTACGTTCACTTAAAGGAACATCCTGTAGAACGTTCACTCCAACGTCCATACCAGTCCCTAAGGCCCGTTTCCCACGTCCGTTCTGACGCCCCCCAAAAAGACACTGAGCTTTCCCACAAAGCGTGGGCAACTCTAAAATGTCGGGGCAATGGCTGATGAGCCTCGCTGCCAGATTCGGACCCACCCACCCTCAAATACATTCAAATACCCTGATGCCCATGCCCATGGTGAAGGGATGTGGAGGGTGTTGCAGGTGACAGGGAGGGGTTCTTGCAATCTGGCCCGCTCCATCGCCATCCAACCCGAATTTTCAAATGATCATCTGTTCTAAAATGGGCAACGTGTAGACTCACAGCCCTACTTCAGGGCGGCCCAAGTAAAGAATACTCTGCTTCCAAGGTGTTACTGTCAGATCTGTCAGGGATGCCTATGCCTGAGAGAGAAGCCACGATGCCCTAGAATGCCTAGACAGGAACTCATGCATCGCCGCAATGGCAAGTTGGCCTCCTTGAATCTCGGCACCTCCTTGAGAATCTCCCAAGCACTGGCGGTGAGTCTGGCCTAGAATAGAATCAACAGAAATGCTAGGTAATAGGAACCCTCCTTTTCTCATATACCTGGAAGCTTCAGCTCTTCAAAGCCCCCCCCCTTCTCTCTGACGGTCTTTCACCGGCTCCCACGACCGGACCGTCCGCTCCGCTGAAACCCGAGGCTCTGCTGCACGAAGGTGGCGATCTGCGTGATCCACGCGATGGCGCCACTGATGTCCATGGCACAAGCAGCCTGGCACCAGCAGCCCGTTCGACTCGCGGAGATGAAGTTGGGGTGAGCTTGCTTGGGGGGGGGATTTCGGGTGTGGGGAACCTTTTTGGAGGGTGCATACCAGAGGGGCCCCTAAGGGATGCTACATGGACATCTTTCAACCTCCAAGGGACTATTAAATTTAAAAACAAAAACGTGTGGGGGCCTTGGTATGGGTACATCTTGTTAGTTGCACCAGGATGTGCAATGCGATCTTTAGGTCATTGGTTTTACTGTTCCTAAGCCACACCACCAGCTCATGTAGATCAAGCGTGCATAAATCTTCTGACACTCATGATGGATCTATGCATCCAACTACACTGTATCCGATTCAAAAACGAAGAACGTGACAGAATCCACCCCAAAAAACCAAAGCAACTGACACTTTCCAACTACCTTCACACCTTCCCAAGGAACCACCACAACCAGCACGACCAGGCCCACTGTGCTGGCCTCAGGCACTCCTGTGAGGTAGTTGTAAGGTCCATAGCGCGTGTGCTTGGAACAGCTGGAGATGGACACCGCTTGCTGGATATAGAAGATGGTGTCCTCAGATTCCAGTGGATCGAGTCACATGAGAGAGTCAGACAGTGGATTGACAGTGGATCGAGTCACATGATCGAGAGTCATGAAACACATGTGTTGTATCATACAGGCTGGTCTTCTTTGAGGGCAATTCGAGGACTGCGCTGTAGTCCTGATTAAGCCGAACATGTGGTTGGTTTCCAAAATGTCTTTTCCCAAAATGGTGCACTCATCGCAATTCCATGGGGGCCTGCTTCTAAGTCTCCTTTAAACTCCAACCACGCTCAAACCACAGGGATGTTCAATATGAAGGCATGTCAACTGCAAAAGTTGTGAGAGGTGTCTAGCGCGGACCTTTTCAGGGGCCTGTTGAGCTGCTGGAGCTGTTGTTGCTGCTGCTACTGCTGCTGCTAGACTTCTGCAGTTGTTTCCAATTCTCAGAAGTCTTCAAAACGACATAGGAAGGACGTAAGAGCTGACTCAAAACATTCAGGTGTTGGATGGGCAGATGGTCAAGAAATGGACCGTCGTCTAGCGCGGTGCTAGCGCGGATCTAGCGCCAGCCTAGCGCAAAAATCTCAATCGATTTCTTAATCCTGTCAGGTTCTTAGTTTTCCTGCTTGCTTGTCTTCTTCTTGTTGTGCATTCTTCTGCTTCTTCTTCTTCTTCTTCTTATTTGTTTTTCCTTTTTCTTGTGTTGTTTCTTCTTTTTCCTGCTCTCTGCTTGTTTCTTCTTTGCTTATCCTGTTATGAAGAAACCTAGCGCCAACCTAGCGCCAATCTAGCGCTGCCTTGCTGTATCACCATAGTCTGCTGGGGGCCCGCTTCTAAACGAAGACTTAAAACTCATCTCCAACCCTAAAAGTTTACGTTTATCTAAAATTTTTGAGTAGGGCTTTTTGAGTGCAGTCCATGTACCGCAGCCAAAGGTGGAAGAGGTGTCGTAGGGTGGGCAACCGCGAAAACAAACAACGCCGTCATGAGGTAATAATAGGAAATATGGGCATAGCCAGCAATTATATGGAAAGGCCACATTGATCTTCAGTGTTTTCAGTCACATCACAGGCTGATTTGGTTCTTACCCTACCAAAAATGAAAACCTCTATAAACAACTTGCATGTAAAGAAAGGGATCCGTAGACATTTGTGACAGAAAACAAGTGTGGATAACTTCATGTGGTGAACGTGAAACACTTTCTGAAACAACAAGTCTTAAGTCCAATAGTTATATATAACTATATATATGTTGGGAATCCCTCTTTTGGCCTCAGTTTAAACATGTGTATATAAACTACCTCCTGAACACTTGTGTTCAGTCAGTTCCTACCTCCTGAGGACGTAGTTGGAGTCCTACAACACAATCACACTGGACAGTGTAGAGTGCCTTCCCCATGTTTTTTTCAGTCCAAGCAGCATAGATATTGTCCACGATGAAGCCTCAGGCGGAAACAAGAGAACAAAAAGGGTCCAGTCCCAAGGATAACGAGGTGCAGAAGCGGTTGGACAGTTCATATGAGAGGTTTCATATGACAGGTTTGTTGTCCCCCATCCTTCGTGACAGTCTTTCGTTCTTCGGCCCTGGACCACCGTTTGACCCGAAACAAGTCCTGGCCAGCTCTCCATCATCTCCGCAGGCTGGTGCGGGAAAGAAACAAAACAAATCAGGAAAAACAAGTAACAACCCTATACTAAGCATCATTAGACCTAATTATGCGGGCTAAGGCTCATGATTCTGTGGATTGAACACAACCAAATCCACCAATTACCTTGTGGGGGGGGACTCAGATATGGCTCAAGACCTTCCTCCTGTGTTCTCTGCTCTGGCGCCCCCTCCCCGATCGAGTGGCCGATGTCCACGCCGCACTGGACGCCGGTGCCCATGAGCCCAGCGCCCATGAACAAGCGGCGCTCCGGTGGGCCATGGTTGGCCACCTGAGAGATCCTGGCGGCGTCTTTGTTCGGTGAAAGGGTATGGAAACCTGGGATGCAAGGGAGTGAAGTGGGGAGGTGGAGTTTTTTTCGGAGTCCAACCAAGAAATTCATTGGAACAAAGAGCATGGAAGGGATGTGGTTCATGATGACTCATGTGCTTTGGGCTTTCATGTGTTTTCATGCATGGAAAAACATGTTGCTTGCAGTATATATATATATTATAACTAAATATATATATATATGGAGGCACCCAATCTTTGGAGGGAACCAATTAGATTAGAATCCAGTCGTGATTCCTCTTTGACTCGGCACCTAGTTCACTGGTTCCTACCCGTGACCTATTCTGCTTGGAACCGCAAACTACCTACAAGAATCAATAATACAAGTAGCAGCACTACAGTATGTACAGTCAAAAATGAACTAGCAGCAGCAAAAGTAGAAGTAGAAGTAGAAGTAGAAGTAGAAGTAGTAGTAGTAGTAGTAGTAGTAAGTAGTAGTAAGTAGTAGTAAGTAGTAGTAGGTAGTAGTAGGTAGTAGTAGGTAGTAAGTAGTAGTAAGTAGTAGTAGGTAGTAAGTAGTAGTAGTAGGTAGTAAGTAGTAGTAAGTAGTAGTAAGTAGTAGTAAGTAGTAGTAAGTAGTAGTAAGTAGTAGTAAGTAGTAGTAAGTAGTAGTAAGTAGTAGTAAGTAGTAGTAAGTAGTAGTAAGTAGTAGTAAGTAGTAGTAAGTAGTAGTAAGTAGTA